AGGATAGAAGGGAATGGCAAAAGATATTCCAAGTCATGAAAAGCAAAGGCCTGAAACCCAGGCTGCTCTATCCCGCAAGGCTCTCAATTAAAATGGAAGGCAAAATAAGGAGGTTCCCTGACAAAAGAAGGCTAAAAGAATACGTCTCCACCAAACCAGCATTGCAAAATATGCTAAAGGGACTGCTTTAAGAGGATAAAGATAAAGACTCTATGAATACCCAGTTCTTTTCACAGTCACCAATACTTGATATTACCAATATTTTTAATACTTATTAATCTGATTGTGACAATGATGTGTTATTTTAAGTGTTTCTTATTTGTTGAAACTAAACCTGTTTTGTATATTTTTTTTGCCTATTTCTATTATTTTTAAAAAGCTTTAAATGACTGTGATATTCTTTATCAATTTTTTGATTAAATGTTTGTAGAATTTTTTCCCAAAAAAACCCAAACCTATTAATCCTTTCTTAGATGTGTTACAAATACTTTCCTATTCTATTAATTCTCCTTTAAATTTTTTTATAGGTATATTATTATATAGTCTTAAATGTTTAATATAGTCATATTGTCAATATTTTACTTTATAGCTTCTGGGTTTGAATATATTACTTCAGGGTTAGGAAAATATTTTGTATTTTCTCCTAAAACTCCTTAGATTTTACATATTGATTTTTAACTCACCTGAATATTTTTTGTATAGTGTGTGAAATAGAGTTCTATATTTTTATTTCAAGTAATAGTGGTCCATGCACCTTATTTGTTTAATAAACCTTATTTTCCCTATTGATTTGAAATAGCAATTTAATCATATATTACATTGTTAGATGGATATATACATTTCTTTCTAGAATGCTCATTTTATTTCATTGATCTACTTGGTTATTTCTGTGCTGATGTCATGTTGCTGAGACTTTATAATGGATTTAAATTTTTTAATATTTTATAATGGATCTTGACATTTAAAAAAATAAATAAATAAAATCAATCTGCATTTAGAAAGAAAGAAGGGAAGAAATAAAGAAGGCTCTCCTACCTTTTGTGACAACATGGATGGGACTGGAGAATGTTATGCTAAGTGAAATAAGCCAGTCGGTGAAAGACAACTACCTTATGATCTCACCTATAAGTGGCATCTATTCAACAAAATAAACTAATGAACAAAATAAATCACAGGCATGGAAACATGGAGCAGACTGAAAGTGACCAGAGAGGATGGGGAAGGAAGACAATGGTGGAAAGAAGGAGAAGGGACTAAACAAAGAACATTTATGAATGACCCATAGACATGGACAAGAGAGTGGGAATTGACTGTGGGAGCGCGGGGGTGGGGTGGGGTGGGGCCGGTGGAGGAGGGCAAAGGGGGAAAAATTGAGACAGCTGTAATAGAATAAACATGATTTTAAAAAATAAAATAAAAATTAAAAATACTAAAAAAAAATCCCCCCCGAAACCCTGATTTTGATGGCAACAAAGAAATTGACCTTCACCCAGGCCCCGTATTAAGGCAGCTTGCACTATGTATGAGTAGTAAATGCAGAAGCATTTAGACTGCTCAGTGGCAAGTGCTTTACCTCAAGTTGATTTTAAATAATATTTTCTAGTTTTTCAACCCACAATTCAATTTTGTTTTAAGTGGCTGCTTAAGTTACATGGGGTGGGAGAGTGGAGGCAGGTTTTGAAGAAATACTTCCAAAATAATAATGTAATAATAATATATTTTTGCTAATCATTTACCATCTAGGCTTCTGCACAACAGCAGCCTTCTGCCTGTGCGCTGGGAATGGTCCTGCTCCCGCCCAGCCCTGGCAGCTGCTTTGTTCCCAGGCCTTACGTGCTGTGGGTACCCATCACTGGTGGCCTAGCAGCCTTTCCCTGTCCCCGTCATCTCCACTCTACCTTGCTATCAGTCGAAAAGCAGACCGTGTTGTAGAAATAGTTTGAAACCACAAATGACATGTAGACAAATGAAAAAAATTAACCTTACTAGTGGTCAAAGAAATGCAAATTGAAACCAATGAGAAGTTATTTTCACTCATCTAATAAGAAAAAAAATGATTGTAATAACCAGAGATGGGAAAGGTTAGCGAGACTACCTCTCCTCTGTACTACACCAGGGAGTATAAATTGGAATGGCTGATCTAAGGTCAGATTTAGCAATGTGAGTAACGTAATGCTCTTAATCTACTAATTCCTTTTTGAAGGATTTTTTCTAAATAATGATCGAAGATATGCTTAGTGTTTGTGAACAGTAGTGTCTCTCAGAGTGCTTTAGAATGTAATCTACACAGATGTCCAACAGTGGTTAAGTAAATCACGTACATATGATAGAATACTAATCCATTAAAATTATGCGTTTGAGGAATTTTTCATTACATTGGAAGAAGTAAAACAGGCTATCTGGCTAACTGGGATTTATGGTCCCACTTCTTGGGTTTGAATTCTTTCCTTACTACCACTTAAAAGATGTGAGACTTGAAAGAGTTGTTTAACCTCTCTCTGCCTCAGTTTCCTTATCTATAAAATGGAGAAATAATGGTGGTTGTAAAGTTAATGACAAAATTCATTTGGCATGCTTTGCATAGTGCTTGACACAGCCTAAGTGCCTAATAAATGATAGCGTTACATTAACTTTTGTGCCTCAGTTTCCTCCTTTGTAAAATAGGAATGAGAGTAGTCCTAACTCAGAGGAGTGCTGGTGAAGCTTAAATGAACTTATATATCTAGAGCTCACTGAGTATGGACCTAGCACATGGCAACATCTATGGGTCATCTGTTTATACAACAGGTGGTAGGAAATGTTCGCATAAAACAGACTCCTAGAAGAACACCAAGGCTATTTGAAAATCCACATCCTTGCACGCACACACAGATTAGAAGGTACCAAAGTAAATGTCTCTGGATAGAAAAATTATACATGGTTTTGGTTTTTTACTTTCCTATATTTTTCCAAAATTTTAACAATGATTCCATATTACTTTTACAATTTAAAAAGCAAACAACAGTTTTACAGTTGAAACATTTTCTGCTTGGCCCATCATTAATCAAGGTAATTGAGTGCCCCAAGCTTCCTTTCAGTGACTGGTTTTTCTGTGTTAAAGTCCTGATCTCTGGTGATGTGTAGGCAGTTGCTTAATATTTTTGCACACTGTAACAGTGTTACTGAGATTTTTTCTTCAGCTGCATTTGAACAGTGATTTTAAACTTCGGATGCATGCTAGACTCGTTTGAGGAGATACTGAAATGTATTGGTATTGGGCTCTTCTCTAGACAGATTGGATCTAGATATAAGGAGATGGACCCTGGGCATTGGTATTTTTGTCTTTATTTTTTATTGTTTGCGCTTTACATATGTCTGCACTTTTCCCCTTTTGCTCACCTCCACCCAGCCCCCACGCCCTCAGGCCATCACCACAGTGTTGTACCTGTCCATGGATCAGGCATATATGTTCTTTGGCTAATTTCCTTCATCTTCTTTCATCCAGTCCCTATCTGCCCCCACCCCAGCATTGGGATTTTCCAAAGGCTCACAAGGAAATTTTAATATGCAGCCAGGTGGTGAACAGCAACCTGGAACCAGGCTGGCACTTATACTATACTATGTACCATTTCCTGACTGGCAGAGAGTTCTGCCCATGAACAGAGCCACCGCTCCCTCTGGTCAGTCTCTGAGTCAGCCTTGGAAGTACTTCCCACATTATCTGAAGGGAAGACTCCCCTAGGGTGCTTGTTAAAATGCAGCTGCACCCCTAACCTGTACCTGAAGCGGACTTCCAGGGGGAGAGACTTGGTAAGGCGTGTCTTTAATGAACCCACTGATGATTCTTACCGTGAGGGAAGTGCAGGAACTCTGCCCGAGCCATGGCTCCATCCCAGCTGCACACTGGGAATTCCTGGGGAACTTGGGAAGACACTGATGCCCAGTGCCCCTCCTGCCTCCACAATTCTAATGTGATGGAGCTGGGATACTGCCTGAGTATCGGGAACTTTGAAGTCCCTCCATATTATAATGTGCAGTCATGGTTGACAACCATGGGCAATGATGATTCCCAAAGCAGGGTACTGGGACTGGCAGCATCAGCATCACCTGGGTACCTGTCAGAAGTTCTCATTATGCTCCACAGAGGAGGACAATCATGCAATATTTGTCTTTTTCTGACTTACCTTCACTTAGAATTATACCCTCAGGATTCATTTATGTTGTTGCAAATGGCAAGATTTTATTCTTTTTTGTGGCTGAGTAGCATCACTGTTTTTATAACTCATAGATACAGAGGATAGATCTGTAGTTACCAGAAGGGAAGAGGATTGGGGATGGGCGAAAGGTGGGAAGGGGATCAATTGTATGGTGATGGATAGTAATTAGACTTTTGAGGGTGATCACTTTGTAATGTATACAGATGTCGAATTATAATGTTATATACCTGAAACTTAAACAATAATTAAAAATGTACCTTATGGAGCCCCACCAGGCCTGCTGAACCAAAAACTGGGGATGGGACCCAGAAGTCTGTGCCTTAGCAACCCTCTTGTGATTCCTGCACAAGTTGGAGTTTAAGAACCACTGATATAGAACGGGGCTGGGAAGAGCAGGTTTGCGGACTTGCCCCTGAGAACGCAGTGTTTTGGACCAAGCTGGGAACGGACTCCCAGTGTCCCACCCCAAGACCACGCTTGAGAATTGTTGCTCTCAGGTTTACCCTCCTTGTTCCTGTGGCCGTTCAAGGTTGTAATGGCCTCAACATCTTTCAAGTATAACCAGTGTCCTGATGTCTTGTGGGCAGCCTGTTGCTGCCACTCCTGGGCCCTTGGATGGCAAAACCCGTGGCTGCCTTCCAGCCATAATTAGTGGGATGTGTTTTTTTTAAAGTCGACTAGTACTCTGGTTGGGAATCTATTTTTTCAAAGTACTGACCCATGTTTGTTTTGACTTGGAACCCCAGTCACAGAAGCAGTGTGTGCTTCCTCCCTTGGTGTAACTTGTGCCTCTTCGTTTCGCAGGTTTTACCAACCACCCATGCCAGCGTGGTCCTCTCAGCACCAGGCCGGTCACAGCCACGCCTGTTGGAGGAGAGGACAGGAGGCCAGTGGCTTGCTGGGTCCCAGAGACCGAGAAGACCTGGAGGTCAGAGGAATGGCCCAAGCCCCCAGCCTGCCCGTCCACATGAGGGAGGGTCCATGGGAAGTTGGAGGAAGGACAGAGAATGTGATGAAGAAGGCGGTTTGGGAAGAAGAGCTGAGAGTGGCGGGTCCTGCCAAGTGGCAGAATGTAAGCATGGAAAGCTGGAACCAGCCGAGGAAGTTAGGAAGGCAGATGTCTGATGGTGATGGGGAGAAACTGTTTCAAGATCTGTACCCATTCATGCAAGGAGAACGTGTGTTGAATTCCCAAAGCAAAGGAAAATCCCGGTCATTGCCTAAAGTTCTCTCCCCCAAGAGCCTGAGTTGCATGGAGATTCCCTTGAGCCATGGGCATTTACCAGGTGTTCCTAAAATGCCATTTTACCCTCCAAATTGTGCACCGAATTTTGAATCCACAGGGAACCCCGAGAAGGGCGGCTCCTCGGCCCCTTTACCGTGGCCAAAGTTCGGGAGACCCCTGAAGCCTCCATCCTACGACTCCCACCAACACTCCAGGGGCGGAGTGGACAACAGCGACTGCCTGGACAGCCAGCAGACAGACCCGAGTGTTTCCTACGTGGCCAGATCTAATAACCCCCGGCAGGAGCTCGGCCTGCCTGACGCTGGCCTAGAGCCGCCCGTGTACGTGCCTCCGCCATCATACCGGTCGCCGCCCCAGCACATCCCAAACCCCTACCTGGAGGAGGCAGCGCCCGGGCGTGTGTGTGATGGTCACCGTCCTCCATCTGAGGAGGCTGCTGCCAGCGGTCAGCTTCCTACTGGTTCTCTTGGGACTGGGAACGAGGATGGTGTGAGCCCACACTCTCCTCAAAGGTTCCCGCAACAGCCCCATCCCATCACTGCTTGTGACAGCTCTGTTCTCTATATTCCCTTTGATGACCCACGGATACGACATATTAAACTGGCCCGACCCCAGGGTTTCTGTGAAGAAACAAAGGTGGATGAGAAATCGTACAACTCTGGTGCGGTCTCTGCCCCCCAGGCACCTCATGGAAACATGCACCGTGATGGTGCTGTCTTGAACCCACAGAGCATCATGCCCCCATCGGGGAGTAAGAGAGGCCCCGCTCCTGCCGATCCCAACCCCCGGTGGCTGTGGGGCCAGCTCCCCAGGGAGGGAGAAAATGGTGGTTTTCCTGACCAAAGAGACCAGTGTGTTATGAGAGGACAGTGGCCTGACTTGAGAGGCAGCCAACATGGACAAGCAGAAAGCCAAGTCTCCTCCCCAAACCCACAGGGCGAGAGTACCTGCGAAACTCGAACCAAGCTCAAAAAGTTTGAAGCTGGGATTCAGACCAAAAAAAGTTCAAAGAAAAAAATGAACGAGACGATATTTTGTTTGGTTTCCATCCCAGTGAAATCAGAATCACATCTGCCAGATACAGATACGAACAACAATGACTTAAAACAGAGTACTGATAAAAAGCACAGGCTCGATAAGAGCATGGCTCTGCAGGAGCAGAGTCTGCTGAGCATGTCTTCCACCGACCTGGAGCTGCAGGCTCTCACAGGAAGCATGGCCGGGAGAGCAGAGTTCCCAAAGCAGGATCTGGGGGAGCCAGAAGAAGACAAACAAACAGATGACCTCAGATTCATTCACCCCACGAAACACAGAGAACGCCAGTATTCTGGCTCATGGCCAGGGCACCAGTACAGAGATCAGCAAACACAAACCACTTTCATGGAAGAATCCAAAAGCCCGCAGCCCCCCTCTGCTGAGAAGTCGGAAGGGTCACCTAATGCAGTGCTGACTCCCAAATTTCTAGACCCTTCTTCCTCCAAAGCTCAGGTGCACACGGCATTAGCTTCCAGTGACCAGTACCAAAGGCCGAATGTTCATCACCTGAAAGGTCAACTGTCCCTCAACCCTTCTAGCTACAGTGCTTTTTCAAGGACTTCCTTATTCATAAACCAGGCCCCCGTGCCAAAAGTGGGCCGGAGTCAGTCCTGCGTGGATGGCCATGGACGTGGAGCCAGCCCCGTGTCCAGAGGCGAGGTGGTGAAGGGGGCAACCACAGGTCCGTGCAACAGTCAGCAGCTGTTTGGTCAGTTTCTTTTAAAACCAGTTAGCCGTCGCCCCTGGGATTTGATAAGTCAGTTAGAAAGTTTTAATAAGGAGCTTCAGGAAGAGGAAGAGAGTAGTCACAGCAGCAGCGGCAGTGAGGACAGTGAGATTGAGTGGCGGCCAGAGGGCCGTGCTGACTGGACAGCCAAGAACTTGGGCTTCAGAGAAGACATCCAGGAAAGGAGGGCGGAGGAACCACCAAGGAGGCTGGTGCTGGAGGAGCCTGGGTCTGGGTCGGGAAGAGTGAAGAGTAAGTCTGAGAGTTGGAGTGAGGAGCAGAAGCCTGCCGCCTGCCACCAGGGTGCTTATCTGCAATACCTGGGCCCCTCGCAGGTGGAGGACAGCAGAGGTGAAGCGTTACCGCCAGCACAGGGGAGCTTGAGTACAGAGAAGAGAAACCAGGAGGTTGGGAGAAGAATAAAGGAGCTAGCACTCAGCCCAGGTCCTGTGAAAAGAATGATGTGTCCTAGGTCAAGAGATACAGTGTCCTCATCCAATACAGACGAACTGAGGGAGCCCCAGGAAAGGCAGGAACCCCCCGGTGTTTTAAGGTCTATGGAGCTGAGCAAAGCAACCCCTTTGAAGCCTGGTGGTGGGGAGCAGAGGGGCACAGTGGTCCCGCTCTCTCTTGCTAACAAACCTCGAGGACTCTCTGCCCCAGACTTGAGGTCTGTGGGGCTGACCCCAGCACAAGAGCCCAGTGCCAGTAAGTTAGATAGATCTTCAGGTGAAGCGAGTGCAATAGAAATTCCCCCAAATGAGTCCCTTCAGGCAAGGGCTGCGAGGATCCTGGGCATCGAGGTGGCCGTGGAGTCCCTGCTCCCAGGCGCAAGGGGAATGGGACATAACCAGCACCCGGAGCATGATGGCAGTGCCCACAGGTCGGTGTCCCCTCGGGAGGAGCCAGTGTCCAGCACAGCACAGCTGGGTGACCCCACAGCGTCCACTGATGCCTTTTATGGCAGGAGGAAGTGTGGCTGGACGGAAAGCCCTTTGTTTGTGGGGGAAAGGGACAGTGCCCGACGGGCTCCCTGGACTTCTGAGCGCTCAGGTGTGGAGGGAGCCATCCCCAGCAAGGACCCCGACCCCGAATCTCAGCCCAGTGCTCCGGAGTCCAAGCCCTTCAGTCCTGAGGACACGAGGACAAAACCACCATTCAGGTCCACTTTGTTCCATTTTATAGAAAGGACTTCAAGTGTGGCAGGCTCAGAAAAGAAGCTCAGAAGTACTTCCAAAGTGATCGAAAGTTTACAAGAGAAACTGGCTTCCCCCACCAGGAGAGCCGACCCTGACCGTTTGATGAGGATGAAAGAGGTGAGCTCCATGTCTCGGATGAGGCTCCTGAGCTCCCGGAGCACAGACTCCACGGAGGATGCCGAGGAACTGAAGGCTGAGAAGGGCTCCGGGGCTCAGCCGGGAGGCCTGGCATCTCCCACCACTGCGGACCTGGCCCGGAAGGCGGGAAATGCATTCTCTGTCTCCAAGGGTGCCCGCCCACCGGAAGAGAATGGGCATTTGGCAGCTGGAAGGGAGAAGAAGAACTTTGATCAGGACTTCTGGTGCCCAGGTGAGGAGTCAGGCAAGCGGCAGGGGTTCAGTATTAATTTGGTGTCTTTGGGGCATAAGTATTAGCAGGTCGGTAGATAATGAAAATATGCATATTTAGAAAAGAGCAAACTGGTCCTGTGGATTATTGTACCAAAAGATTCTTCATTTTATAAAAAATTATCTAGAAGCCTTCCTTAGAAATCAAGATCTTGTAGTATATTTTAAATGATTATGTCTTTATGAAAATTATTTATGTAAATTACTATTAAAAAGTATCCATGTAAACAACTTTCTGGGCTCCTTACTGTGACGAGATGAGTCCCTAAAGTGTTCTAACTCTGGGACAGGCACCTTTATAAATCTCGTAAGGAGACCATAGCATCTGTGCTCTCTGCCCAGTACTGGCATTCACCCAGTAACCCTCATTGCTCTTTATTAACCTAATAAGAAAAGACAAACAGGTTGATTGAAATAAACTACCTGCCCCATGATGCTGTTTCTCACATTTCACTTTCCAAATTCTTTTGCCCCCAGCCCCCCATTTTTTATGTTTTCACTACCACACCATTTATGAAACTTTAGTGACAAAAAATAACCGTTCTCACTTTCTCAAGAACCCCTAAGAAGTTCACCATTAACTCTGTTTCTTAAAGACCCCTAAGTTCTGATTCTGAAATTCCAAGTAAGATGGTTTTGGCAACAGCACCCTGCAGGCCTTTGGGCCTCTCCATCCTCTCACCTCGGGGTGTCTTTAGAGCCTTCTCTGTTTCATAAAGCCACCAGGCAGGTTCCCAATGACAGTAACAGTGTGATTTTCCTCAAGCACAATTTCATCGTCCCAGCTATGACACACACAGGCCAGGAGACCTCTCAGTATCTTTGTTTAAGACGCTTTTGTCAGGGGCTGGAGATTACCGGTTACATATCCAAAAATGATCAGAGGGAGATCTGAGGTAGTTACCAAATTGTCGGCATCATTAACCACAGGCTGGAAGGGACCTTAAGTCATTCATTCAGCCCTTGCACAGTAAGGGAAACCGTGTCCCCTGAGGTGGGTGTCATGGCGCTGCCCTCAGACCCCAGCCTGACCTCATGAGCCAGGCTCTTCCATCTTCCTGGGCTGCCCCAGCAGGGCCGGGCCCCCGCCCGGCTCTGTCTTCTGTTTTGAAACCCGAGGATGGATTTATTTGTTTATTTACTTTTCCATAAGGACAGGCAGCATCTAAACATCTCCATTTTTAGAGTTCAGAACGTCATTGTTTTTTCTTAGCTTCCTCTTAGTTGCTTCAAAATAGGTTTGATCTTTGTGGTGATTCTTATTTGTTCACTTATTTATTTATTTTATCCAGTTCCCTCACCTCTCATACCCTTTGACAACTACCAACTAGTTTTGTGTCTGTGGGACTTTCTATTTTGTTTTCTTTATTCATTTTTGTTTTTTGAGATTCCACATATAAGTGAAAATATACAGTATTTGTCTTTCTCTATCTCACTTAATTCACTTAGCATAAAACCCTCTAGGTCCATCCATACTGTGACAGTGGCAAGATTTCATTTTTTTTTTATTGCTGAGTTATATTTCATTGTATATATGCACCACAACTTTTTATCTACTTGTCTACTGATGGGCACTTGGCTATTGCAAATAATTCTGCATTGAAGATAAGGTTGCATATATATTTTTGAATTAGTGTTTCTGTTTTCTTAGCATAAATACTTGGAAGTGGAATTGCTGGATCATATCGCAGCTGTAATTTTAATTTTTTGAAGAACCTCCATACTTTTTTCCACAGTGGCTGCACCAATCTGCATTCCTGCCAATGAACATGATGGTTCCCTTTTCGCCATATCCTCACCAACACTTGTTGTTGGTCAGTTTTTTAATGACAACCATTCTGACAGGTGTGAGGTGATATCTCATTGTGGTTTTAATTTAAATTTCTTTGATGATTATTGATGTCAAGCATCTTTTCATATGTCTGTTGGCCATATGTATATCCTCTTTGGAGAAGGGTCTATTCGTGTCCTGTGCTCATTATTTAATTAGATTGCTAATTTTTTTTTTGGTATTAAGTTGTATGAGTTTCTTACATGTTTTGGATACTAACCCCTTATGAAATGTATCATTGGTGAATATCTTCTCCCATTCAGTAGATTGCCTGTTTCTCTTGTTGATGGTTTTCTTTGTTGTGCAAAAACCTTTTAGTTTGATGTAGTCTAATTTGTTTACTTTTTCTTTTGTTTCCCTTGCTTGCCCAAGGAGAAATATCAGAAAAAATATTACCAGGAGAAATGTTGGAGAGTTTACTACCCATTTTCTTATAGAAGTTTTATGGTTTCAAGTCTTATGTTTAAGTCTTTAAATCCTTTTGAGTTTATTTTTATAAATGGTGTAAGAAAGTGATCCAATTTTATTTTTGCATGTTCCTGTCCAGTTTTTCCAACATCACTTACTGAAGAGACTGTCTTTACCCCATTTTATATCCTTGCCTCCTTCATTGTAGATTAACTGACCATATAAGTGAGGATGAAATCCAAGAACTTAAAAGTAGATGGAAAGGATCACTTGTTTCAGCTAGAAGAGTCCAGAAATTTTTGTTAGAAAAGTCTACTTGGCACTTTTTAAATTTTCCCAGAAAGGCAGTATGATTCTTAGGACCGTTAGCCAATGTTGCTCTGTTCCTTATGCAAAATACTACATTACTGAAATAACTGATTTTTCAGGGCCGTCTTGGATCATCTCGTTTGACAAATTTGGTCCTTGCTGAGGACGAGAACACTAAGAATGTGGAAAAAGTGCTATGCGGCCCATTTTTTGAGCTGTGGGAATTTGTTAGGCTTCAGCATGATTCCTCCTCTCCTACTTCCCCCAAAAACATGCCCACTCACTATTAAGTGCTAGTTAAAAAGACATCAGAGGCTTTTAAAGTGAGTTTATCTATAAAATCAGGATGATTTTATTAGTCCTACCTCATCCTGAGAATTACAAGGAAAATCCTGTTAAAACACATTTGCAAAGATTTCTATGTTCCAGTCCAAGATCGCATATTTCAGGCAGTATTTTATACCATAAAATTTATAGTTCAGTGAAACACTCGCTCAATTTTTGAGCTTGATCATTTGGCATGTGAATGGGATGAGGAAGGTATCCGAAAATACCTAGATAATGCCAATTTTAATTTTAGTCAGGCATTAAAAAACCACCCCTGTGGCCTCATTTTTTTAAAATCATAGTTACTAACAAGTAGAAGTATTTTTTCTCTCTCTCTTGTTCTGATGCATTTGTTAATACACAATAAAATGACCAAAAATATGAAAGCAGAGAGCTGCTTATGATGACCGACAGCTACCTCAGTCATTCTTAAGTAATTGCATAGCAGGACATCACTAGGGAAGATTTCTTAAACCTGCAGTGGCCCAGGTGAAACTCGGTTGGCCGTGCATGTGATGGCCCCAGGCCTCAATATCCACTTTCATTCTTTAGAGAGGTCATAAGGCTGAGGTATTAAAACTTGCCAAATGTTAGAGAGTCTCCTCATTGTTGCTTTACAAATTAGAATAAAGCCTTGTTGCTTTGTTGCTGATGAACTTTTGGACTTTCTGTTTTCCTTTCGCTAAATTTTATTTTGAACACAAGAATCCGCATGTCTGTCCGCAGCCCACCCCTTCCTCCGTCCCCCGCAGTGTGTCAGACCACTTCCCTGTTGCTGAATGCACAGCCCACGTCAGTTTAGATTTTGTTATGGAATTTCAAACCAAGAATATACCATGTTTGTCTGTAACTGCTCCCCCTCAATGGACCCCCTCCCAGAACTTTATCAATATTGTGTTGGAGTACCGAGCGTCATAAAGTGTCTTTATCTTAGCCTGATGATGGGCCTTTCAGCTAACATCTTTTCAGTGGACTTCTTGGGCTCTGGTTAAGAAATCAGCAGCTCCAAACGAATTCAGGGAACGGAATCCCATCTCTACTGTTTGCGAACCTGCTGGTTCAGAACCTTGTGGTTCCATCAACTTGCATGTACTCTCTCAGTGCAAGTACAGCCGGAGCGAGGAGAGCCTCTCTGCCTCAGGGCCGCCGATCCGGGGAGGTTTCATGATGCCACATGATGCCGTCAGAAGGCTAGACGTCAGCATGTCTTTAAGAGGGTGTTCACATACAAAATGCCCACTAGGGCAGGGTCGGTGACTTGTCTTCACCTGTACTTCTGCCCACAGGAGCCAGGACCCTATATTCTTGGGTGGCCTCTCTGTTCTCTAGACCCCACTAGCCAGTGGGGTAGCCCCTGTCATGCGCAGCTCCTGAGCACTTGAAACGCAGCTCATCCAAAGTGAAATGGGCTGTTAAGTGTAAAATATACACCGAGTTTCAGAGCTTAGTACAGAAATAATCTAAAATTTCTCAATTTTTATGTTGATTACCTGTTGAAATGATATTTTGGGTTTATTTGGTAAAATAAAATACATCATTAAAATTAATTTCACCTGTTTTCTTTGCTTAACGTGGCTACTAGAAATGTAAACTAGACCTAGGCCCCCCGTGATCTGAGGGAGGAGCCCATGCTGCACAGAATTCTTTTCCTGCTCTCTGTCTCTGGGCCTTTAGCTTCAACAGTGGGGCTCTGGGGTGCAGGCACTTTCTGTGATGTGTCCCCATGTACCTGGCCCTGAGGGGGCAGGTCAGTGCCCAGTGTCTATGTAATTAGAGGCTTAATCGCTGCTCCAGGTCTCCCCAGCCTCTCACAGCTGTGCTGTGCCCTTTCCTGAGCCCTCCGTGAGGGACCACCCACCTCATTCCCAGTGGAGAAACAGACACCTCCGCTCACAGGTGGTCCCTCCCAGAGTCAGCTCATGGTGCGGCTGATGGAGCACAGAAGTGTGGCGCTTGGCCGGTAAGATCCTCTGCTGCCCCACTGGGCGGTGTTCTGTGAGACTTCAGAAGGCACTGACTCCAGTGAACTCCGCTGGCTTTAGCCTGATGGGCACTTGGTGCCATGAATCATGTTTGAGGAGCAGCAAACTCCTCTCCCAAATGCAGCAACTGCCCTATGTGGGCAGTTTATAACATGAGGCTTAGAGTGCTCTAAATGCTGTCTTAGTTGTCACAGTGGCATCGTGTCGTAAATGTATCGTGGCTAAGCTGAGCAGGTGTAAGGAGGACATGCTACTGGAGATACTGGAATCTGCGTGGCTTCATGACACAGTTTTCCAGATGACTCAAGAAGCAATTATTTGTAATAGTTTCTACAACTAACAAATTGTTCCATCCTTCCATATTTCTTATGTGTTTTCTTTTAAAAAGTTAGAACACCTTTGAATACTGTGGCAGGAATTTCCGACCATAGGAAGCACAAATGCGAGCTTCAGGTTTGCCTGGACCCAGAGATCTGTGACTTCCAGGTGCTCAAAATTAGCACCCCCTGGCTGCCACACTAATGGCGGTTTAGGACTGTTGTTTATCGTGCGGTGTCCCATCTGGGAAACCCAGGACATCTGGGCCCAGCTTGGGATTTTTCAGTGTGGGCTACAGAATGGGTCCGTGGATGGCCCAGACTCACACTCACCTGTGTGGGGGTTGGCCCAGAGGATCTGTGCCAACAGACCTGTGTCCGGCCCTGGGCCAGCCTGCTGGCTGCTGGCAGTCAGAGACAGAGGCCCAGCAGTTAGGATTGCAGGGTCCTCGGGCTCTCCAGTGACAGCATTTGATCACAAAGACGCACACTGCAAAGCGAACTTTCATTAGAATTGTAATTCACAAAAAATAATTAAACAATCAGCACCAGCTGAGCACACCTCTGCTGGTTAATAGGCCTGCATTTAAGGCTAATTATGTTTCACTGTGAACGGCAGGCAGGGGCCATCAAAATATTAAGAGCAACTCACATTTTTTTCGTCTGTGATTAGATAAAGATCATGCATGTCCCTTTAAAACAGCTTTTTTATGATAGCTCTCTACACAGTGAAAACAAGATTGCTGAAATGGATTTTGCTCCCTAAACATATTTATTTATAATCTGAGAATTAAACTGGAAACAGACCAGTTGAATTTCCCATTAATTTTCTTTTCTGCCTTTTTTTTTTTACAGACTCCTACGACCCTAGCAGAGTGGAGAGGGTGTGATGAGATGGCAGTGAAGTGCAGGCCCGCCATATCTGCTGACTGAGTGTCCCTTGGTTTTGTCTGTCAGCCGGCTTGCCCGTGTGCCCAGTGGAAGCTGCTGGCTTTTAGTGCACTGTGACGCCCATGACCACTGCTACCCGGGGACTCGTCGTGCCTACGCAATCGCTGTGTGGATATAAAGGAGTAGTCTGTTGAAATGATCTGTTTTGATACCATGAAGAGCTAATACTTACTTAGAAAAGAGTCACATAGACTCTCTCCTGAATGATGGATTTAGCCAAGCTGGTAAATAGTTTGGTGTTAATCTAGTTCTGTGACAATTTGAACGTGGACAATTGAGTGAATGATTTTGAAAGGACTGTGAATGTCATGAATTCCCCGTCGTGTCCCCAGGGCCTGCGGTCCATGCTTACGTCCAGGAGCGTGGGACATAGGCCATTACCCAGTGTTTCTGCACTTTGAGTTTAGGGGAAATGTGAACGAGTGTGTCTGATCCATTTCTAATCAATTTGGCCTTTTGCTGCTGGAAGTAACTTACAAGTAACTTGCCATCAGAGACTAAAAGCAATATCTTTTTAAGCTTCTAAAAGATTAAAACTTGCTATAATGTACTAAGAGTATTATTTATCTGGTAATGAAATACCACGATCATTCGCAAACATGCCATCGTCTGCTTTGCACTCAGTATTATCTATTTTTATTTCCTGTATGGACACTTGGAAAATCTTTATATGAAAAATAATTGCTGGTTTAAAATAGACCATTTTAACAAAGTGACTATATTTCTTTTTACAAAAATGCTATTTTTCTATGTTGTAAACAGTTGTTAGGTGGCAGATTTTTAAGGAAGTATTATTTTATTTAAGAATCTGTATCCCTTTGTGTGAGAGGGACCCAGAGAGGGTTCACGTTTGCTTTAAAGCATATATCCCTTACCCATTGACAATTCTGCTATTTCTATTCTATCTTAGAAAACGATGTCAATATAGATATTTTACAGGGTTTATCAAATAAACTTTTAACAACAAATTTTTTTACAAATATAGCTATAAGGTTATATAACCCTCTCAAAACCAGCCAACATCCTTATGACAATTTTTGCTGCCACGTCCACTAGGATTACCAAAAAGCATAGTTTCATCTCTGTACATCTATGGAGCTCTGCCCTGAGACCGTACTTTCCTCCCCTTGCCCCCTACCCCTTTAAGAAATACGTATTTTTATCCAGAATGATCCTTACTTAGTCTCTGCATGTTTTTTAAAGTGCTAGAGACATTTTAAATATGCCATTACAAAAGTATTATGAGGCCTATGTATTCTACTGTGTTTACTATTGCATTAACCTGCACAAAGTTTATGCATTTTTTAATGCATTTGCCTATTCTTTCTAAGTAAGGTATTCTTCTTAGCTAACATTTCCTGAATAGATTCTTGTCTCTTCCCTCCCTTTCTTTCTTTGTTTCTTTCTTTTTTTTGCCTTCTTTATTTTTCCCTCTTTCCTTTTTTTTTTTTTTTTTTTGAGAAGCCACCTTATCTATTTTTAGACACTTCAAATTCCTAAAATGTGAACTGCTGGGTGGTCTGCAATTTGGCCCTAAAACAGCTCTGACTGGGCTTCCACGGCCTGTTTTTATCTGTACCATATGATTCTATTTCATAAGAACTTCATGTATTTGGACTGTAATAAACAACACAGAATCTAAGTAATTCTGAAAAATCTTCTCAAATACACTAATCTGCAGTCTTGGGTCACTTCTTTCCAGATTTTTGGCTCTTGTGAAAAGTTATAGTAGGCTCTTGTTTTCACAACACAAAGAAAAGGGCCAGGTCTCTGCTAGGAGAAGCTTAAATTGTTTTTCCTGCGAAAAATGTACTGGGTAAGAGGTTTATTACTGTGTCATAGTCGGTGAATCACTCAAATCATCTGGTAGAACTAATGAGGGTGGTTACCTGGAGGTCTTGTGGGTGTCCTGTGTCCCTCTTTAAATGCAAGTGAACGAAGGTATATGTGTATATACATATGCAGATAGGTATGTACATATACATATAGGCACATACATATGTACATACATATATTCAACTCTGTTCTGGCTTCCTTCTAAATTTTGTTGATCTCATATAAAGAGTTCTTTTAAGGAAAATAATTAAATTTTAGCTTATTCCTCAGGAGAAAGAGAAGGACAAAGAGAAAAAATTATTGTACCTTATATGTATCACAAACAAACCAAAATATGATACTCTTGTTTTGTTTTATTCTAAATTGTTGTATTATAGCTTTCTGAAACCATTCTGAATCTAGTTGAAATGATCAATATTTATACTAAGCTTCATTTCTGGATTCCATCTTGCATATAAATATTTTGGGGGAGAAGGGAAGGTAACTTTGAAAATTTGACTTTTAAACTTGCATATTCTAAGGGAAATAATACAGTCTAATCAGAAATAGTTTTCCCAGGGGTGTTGAATTGATTGCTAATTATTCTTTTATTATTTCTATTGTTCATACATACATACGTTTTTGGTATTACTTGTGGCTGAAAAAACTTTTTGTATTTTATCTTTGTCATTGTTTTTCTCATATATATGACTAACTTTTGGTGTTTAATAATTTAGGACTTATAAAATTAAATTAAAAGTTCTAATTTTTACCATTTGGACTAAAAATTATATGAGGAATTACATATGAAATGTATTTGTATTTCTTAATTTGCAAAAGGGAAAAATGTTGTAATATAGCTCTAATTACCTCTTTGAAGAAAAATTCTCAATGATTGAAAACCAAATATCTTTGTTATCATTTTCAACCTTATGTTTCTGCAAACCACAGAAAACTCCTTAGAAGCACAGCTCCTGACTGCAGCTTCAGAAACCCTTTCCATGTTGTTCATAACTGTTTGGATTTCTTTTTAAAGTGTCACTTAAAAATGTCTACTCTCTGAGATCCTAGTGTCTGGACTAGAAGTGTAGGTTGAGGTTTTAATTCACGTGGAAATTCTAAGTAGAACTTTTCCTGTTCATCTGACTGTTGGTGAAGGGTTGGTATTCGTGGCAGTTCAAGAGCTTAAACGCCAATGATTCTGAAATTAGACCCTGACCATTTTTTTTTTTTTTTTTGTGGCAGCAAAATGACTTACTCTGATAGAAGCTTGGTTTAGGGCTTCTGAGGGAAAATGATGAGCCCACCCACCATTGACACAGCTATTTCCCAGCCCTGAGCAGAAGGGACCAATGGAAGATAAGATTAACCTACCATTTCATCTGTGACCCCCAAGGATTGTGTTTGTGCGTTTTGGCTCTTTTTGTTTTAAATGATTAAATAATATATAGTTAAGTGTCAGGTTAGCATCTCTTGGAAAGTGATCAGTAGAGCAGAATTCTCTCTAAATACTGAGCTTGGAGAAACACTTCCAATTTTCTAAGTTCTTTTAAGTAGTTACGTTAGTGCTTGGACCATTGTTCCGTCAGATCCATCAGTGCAGGGGGGTGAACCTGAAGGGATGGAGTGAGGGGTGGGACTGTTTCTTAAGCTGAAGCTATTGTAGCAGGCCTGGGGGACCGTTGCATTTTCTGTTTTGTTTTTCATTGCAGACTCTGTACATCTGTTTGTGGGAGGAGAGTTGCTACTCAGGACAGAATTTAAGAGACACATTCCAAGTGACCTTTAAGAGTCTGCATGGTGGGAGGTCCTTTTCCTGGATAGTGGGTTGGTCCACTATGGGACCCACCAAGGAAAGATGATAAAGTAACATTAAAGAAGGAGGGTCCCCAGCCTGCCCAGTAAGGAGTGGTTAAGACTAATTCAGACAGAGGCCTCTTGGAAAGGTCGGTGTGGCCTAGCAAACTGCCCGTTGAAACAGTCCTGGGGTTCATCAGCAGTGCGGTGAGGCGGACAGAGCGCCTGCAGATTCCTGGCTTTGACTTTTGAGAGCCCCTGTCACAGTTGTGTTTACTACAGAGGATAGGGATGCCCTTGTACTGTGGCCTCTGACTGAAACTCAAACCCATAGTTAAGTGCGGCCCTTCAGCCCCATTCCTTGATTGGGGGTGGGGAGGAGCGCTCCCCCAACCGTCCGCCCCTTTCCCATGCCCCTTTCCCATGCGTAAGCCAGGCCCAGGCCGGCAGCTGCGCCACGGCGGGCAGCCTGCCTGCCTGCTGCCCGCGCCCTCCCCACAGCGGGCCCAGACGCTGCCGCTTACTGTCACAGAGCAAAAGGGAGACAAAGATTGAGAAGCCCATGGCAGAAATTAAAAATGAAAACCATATGTCTCAGCGAGGGAGAAAAGTAACTTACAGATTATGAACTCAATGAAGTTTTTATTCGTCACCTGAATCAGCCAAAATTCAAGCCCTCAAATGTAGGCCTGACAGTAAAGCTAAGCAGGAGCATCTCAAAAAAACAAATAAAACAAGAACTACTCAAATGCAAAGACAAGGCCCAGGAACCCCACAGGAACTTGGTAATTGCACAGCATTTCTTTGGGCATCACCAAGGCAAAGCCAGGTGGGGAGGGTCCCAGGAAAGACAAGCGGAACTGCCCCAGAGCAGGCAGTGCCAGAGGCCTTATGGTGACGAGAGGTGCAGGGAGGTGAAGACTAGTGACACCAGCATGGCACGTCTGAATGTGTTTAAGGAGCTCTTGTATTGCTCCGCATCATGTAAAAACTTGCTGTTTGAGGATGGCCGGCCTGCTCAGTGACACACGTTCCAAATAAAGGCGTTGCATGAAAGTACCTGTGTTCATCGTCTTTGGCTGCCCTGACGGTGGTGTCAGTAACATGGGGACAGGTGGCCCAGGATGTTCCAGCACCTTTGGTCTCTGCCAAATATTTTCTGGGTGTTGAAGCTCCTCTTCGTGTCTCTCTCAGGGACTTGCTGACAAGGTGGAAAGAGACCTGGGATCAATTTGGGGACTGGGTTTGAACTCGGACATGTGGCCTTGCACATGTCTCTTCCCCATATTCCGTTTCCACATCTACCTCTTTCACTCCTTGAATAGAAGAATCGAGTATATAGAAAAGCCCCAGGCAGGCTGTGGGTGTTCGGTGCGCAGACAGTGATTGCGGACCTGTCCTTCACGGGGAAAGAGCAAGTCAGTGTCTGGCAGCTTGTAGGTTTTAAGTCCAGGCCTTGGTCCTGGTTCAAAGATCCAACCACTTGTTTCTAGTATCACGTTTCTGGAAGCAGAGGCACATGCTCTCAATTTGTTTCTAGTAGCTCAATAAACATATAAGCTGTTGATTCCGAGTTTTGAAGTTCGGTCCTTCTTCCCTACTTAAGCTCCTATTTCCCAGTAGTTCTTTCCTGACCGTTGTCTGTGTCCTTCCCTTGGCTCCTCCACGTGTGTGGGCCTCAAAGCTCGAGTGTTTCAGGGCCCTGGCCGCGGTCTGAGGTCTCAGATCATATTGCATGCGGGCTTTAAAGTAAGACCCAGTGGGCTGATCGTTGAATCCACGTACTAAAATAAAACTGAAATGGAAGGAACTTGACCAAATTAATGCTGTAAGATGAAATATACGACCTAGGAATCAGAGGACCCGGTCCTGGGCTTGGCTCTGTTAAGTGGCTGTGACCAGCCACCTCCCCTACTCTCTCTGGAGCACTTCAGAAGTGGAGGAGATTGAACTAAGCTGGTTTCTTCCAACTTTAAGGTTATATAACTAATTTGGGGTCAAAATTGGAAGTCCGTAGGGCCTTTTGCCCTGCCTGAAGGGTCTAAAAGTAGTGATTTCAAAACTACGGCTATACAAGGCTGAGGACTGGGTCATCGCCAGAGTAGGGAGCCCTGCCATTATTTCTTTCACCAGGGTGGTCCCTCCCCGTTCCAGTCACTTATCACGCGTCTCTCCCCCACACCATAGCCATGGAGCAGCCAAGAGGCTGATAATCTTGAATTCTCCCGACATATTTTTCTTAGGTTACAACAGGGCACTGGGGTGTTTATGAGCCTGAGAGTCAGCCCAAGGCATTCATCCAGTGTCTGGTGTAGACCGTTTTTTCTCACAATTTAGCTGCCTGGGGGACATTTTAAATGCACTTAGGGTCAGAGGTGTTTGGTTCTCACCAGCTAAGTCTACCCCACATATACATCTTCCCCCAGGTGGTCGGTCAGCTTGTATTTATTTCACAGGCTGGAAATGCTATCAATCACCTCATTGCTTAAAATTTTGGGGACAACATCTCCATGGAAAACAGGGCCAGCCCTCCCAGGCCCCCTGGACCTCTGGGTTGGATTCAGCCAGAGAACCCAGCACTTCTTTGAGCTATAGGAGGTCTGCCTGATCACATACAGGCTCTGTTGACTGTTTTCTTCTCTCGGGTACTTTTCTCTGTTCTGTGCTTCCTGCTGCATTAACTGGATGTTTTTACCTTGCCTAACCACACTGGCGTATTTCTAAGAGTATGATAGCAGGATCAGCTTGTGGAGAAATAAACCCAAGTACGCATTTA